AACACTTCACTCTTGCATTCTCACATACGATAAAAATTCAAAACAATCAACCAAATATAAAACTTTGTTCGTTCGCAAAGTAGTTAAATGGAAATAGCTTGGAACGTACTACGAGTTATCGCTTTCTCATCGGTATATGTGTAATTAAACTTAACCGTGGCATCGTGAGATTCGTTTTGTTCGCTCTTTTGCATTGCTAGAGCAATATTATAGACACCCACCACATACAACATCGTGACGCCTATTTTTTTGTGTTCTCTGTTTCATTTGATTAGAAAGATATTTTATACAGGGTTCTTAAAACTTTAGTTAATTTGAATAAAATAAAACTCTTCAGAACCGTATAAAATATTCTTTCTAATTAAATGAATCAAAGAACACGCAGAACAAAATAAGTATCACGATACTGTATGCGACTTATCTATAACATTGATTTGGCAATACAAAAGAGTGAGCAAAATAGACCTCACGGTATGTATGCCTATTGGTAATTTCTAACTAATACAGAGACTTTAAATCTTTGTACAGTTTTTATTTAAAATGTTTCACAAAAGCATTCGAACAACCACCGGTTCACGGCTTAAATTTTATGAAGTTATATCGAAAAGAGAAGAACAAAACGCTTTACGCACACATGATCATGTCATCTGCCACCGTCTCAAAAATTAACTACATTGTTGAACGGGCAAATATTTACATTGAAATTGAATGGTATATCTTTGGATTAGTAGAAAATATTTTTAATATAATCATATTTTTTAATAAAACATATCGTATTAATACATGTTCTTTCTATTTGGCGTTAAATTCAGCATTCAGCGTCATTCCTTTGCTCGTAATGCTCTCCATCCGAGTCTTAGACATTGGATTTCAAATACCATTAGTGAAATGCTATAGTGTTTTGTGTAAAATAGCCCTGTTTCTTATATAAACATCAGGACCCATATCGCTGGCATTGCCATCTCTAGCTACAGTCGATCGTTATCTGAAGTCATACAGAAATGTTTGATTACGCAATTACAGCTCAAAATCAACGGCCCATTGATCGGTGCTGATCACGATTGTGTCTATAAAACACGATTGTCCTTAGCTATTTAGTGAATATTCCATCACTTGTGTACTATAATACTCAGTTGATTCAAGGTCGAGAAGTTTGTACAAACTCATCATCAAACTATGCAAAGTATTTTGCCTACTTTTACTATACTGCCTACAACCAATATAAGCACCATTACATTACACTTACGAGAAACATACCAAGCGGAGATATCGTCAGTTCTTTGTTTTCGTGGCCGTTGGATAATTATACATTTAACTTTGAATATATGTGAATCAATAAAGCATTGAAAATACAAACACATCATCGATATATCCATGTTGGATAAGATTTTTGAGTTCGCACGAAAACGAACTAATCCGCCGTGGATCACAGGTCATTGAGTTTTCGTTGTGCTGGGAAACTGATTGATTTGAAAATGTATTATTCTGGTCGGGTTGCACCGTACACTCAACACGAATACAGGCATTCGATTTCTCTCGTCATTTTCTTTATGATGATGTAGCTCTTGAAAATATGTGACTGACAACTTCATCACCCACAGTAGAAAGCAAAAATGACTCGACTTTGAATTGAGAGAAAGGTTATTGTAGTCTTAAGTTATTTTCGATACTCTCTATTTATTTATTTATTTTTACTGTTATGTTTCAATGTCAAAGACGTTTTCACCAGGCAAAGCTAGAATAGCTCAAGAAGGCAGCGATGGGCGGGTACAAGTATATACTCGTACTCGAGTATACTCTGGTACAAAATCTTCAGTACTCGTACTCGGGAGTTTTCTTTACGAGCACTTAAAAATATACTCGAGTATTTTCGAGTACTTGAAATTTTTTCATTAGTATGCTGTACAAAGAATTTTTGGCCTTGCGAATTTTGTATCTTCTTCAGACATTAAAATTTAAGACAAATGACTTAACATACAATAACCTATAATTAAAATAAGAACAAATCAGGCTATTTTCTTCTTCTTTTCTTTCTTGGTCATTCTTGATAGTGATACGGAAAAGGCTTAAATCCTTATGTAGCTATAGCTATTACCATCTTGTTTTCCATATCACTATTAAAGAATGACTAAGAAAGAAAAGAAGAAGAAAATAGTCTGTCTTGTTCTTATTTTAATTATAGGTTATTGTATGTTAAGTCATTTGTGTTAAATTTAATGTCAGAAGAATTATCTCAACGAGAGCTTATTTCGTATTGCGGTAATTGAAATTGTTGATCTATTAATCTTATCTATGGCTACTACTACCGCTCTGATAACCGCTGGCAGCGAGAAACTTCCTCTTATTATTGATAAGTTTTACAATAATATTAAAAAGATACTATGAGTAATAAATGGTGTGCTAAATGTACAATATGTTCAATAGTGATAAAAGATGAGAATACATCCTATTACGCGATGTTGACCATTGCGGAACCAGTTCCCGACCAGGAATCAGTTCTCACTAATTCCGTACTAAAGGAACTCTCGGAATTCCACCCGGACAGAATCGCTCTGAATCAAGAGGAATTCCGGCAATTCCTTCACAACGGAATAGCTAGGAATTACTCGGAATTACTAGGAATTCCTACAACTACCAGCCATGAACATTCTACTACTTGTATGATTAAAGCCACACAAGAAATACTGAAACGGAATTCAGGGAATTCTTATAAAACCGAATCGACCGAAATTACCAGGAATTACTTGGAATTCCGGAATTCCCAGAGCTAGCAGCCCTGAACATTCGACTACTTGTATGATGAAAGTTACACAACAAACTTTGAATCGGAATTCCGGGAATTCCTTCACGACGGAATCGACCGGACTTACTAGGAATTCTGGAACTCCTTGAAGCAGGTATTAATATACAGCAATGATCAAAACTATGAAACTCATTCTGTGACGGAATACCCGGAATTTCTTCCATGCAGAACTCCTAAGAATTCCGAGGTATAACTAGGAATTACTAGGAATCTCGGAAGTACTTGAAGCATGTATTGATATACAGCAATGATCAAAACTATACAACATATTCTATGAAAGAATTCCCGGAATTCCTTCCATCCGGAATTCCTAGGATTTCATAGGAATAACTAGGAATTACTTGGAATTCCGGAATTAATTGAAGCCTGTATTGATAAACGGCAGTGAGGAAAACTACACAAGTCCTTGCATGCGAAATTCCTTAGCATCCCTGGGAATAGCCAGGAATTACTAGGAATTCCGGAATTAGTTCAAGCATGTATTGATATGAACTTGCGGGAAGCATTGTATTGATATGACAGCGATGAAAACTGTACAACTTATACTAGGACGGAATTCCCGGAATTGCTTCCATGCGACATTCCTAAGAACTCGCCAGAATAACTAGGAATAACTATAAATTCCGGAATTTCTTGAAGCATGTATTGATATACGGCAGTGATGAAAACTATACAAGTTATACTATGACGGAAGTCCCGGAATTCCCTCCACGCGAAATTCCTAAGAATCCCCAGGAATAGCTAGGAAGTGCTAGGAATTCCGGAATTAGTCGAAGCATGTATTGATATACGGCAGTGATCAAAACTATACAGCTTCATCGATGACGGAATTCCCGGAATTCCATCATAGTATAAGTTGTACTGTTTTCATCTCTGCCGTATATCACTACATGTTTCAACTAATTCCTGAATTCCTAGTTGTTCCCAGGAATTTCGCATGCAATGAATTCCGGGAATTCCGTCATCGAAGTACTCTGACATAATAATCTCTAAGTTAAAAGAAAAATGTACATAAATCTTCTTGTATTGAAATTTTATTCCCAATCACTGTCATATTTTTCTTCATACCAACCGATGTCTTCTTTTCTCACTTGTACCATCATGTTCTATAATCACCCAAGTAGGATCATGTGACAATATTCGTGTCATACATTAGTCTCTGTTTCCACTACACCAGGAATTGTACAAGGATAGTTCAAACGCCATTATCACTACTATAATAATCTAAGTGATTCACATTATATCACCGATAAATTAAATAATACTAATATGTTGAAAATAACACATCACGCAATAAGTATCACAAAAATTCATTCATCAAATTTGTCTACTAAAAATCTTGGCTGATAATTGCACTTGTTCAACTCCAAACGTTCGATTTTGTTAAACTATTTTATTCTTGTAAAGTAAATTATCACAATGAGGTATAAAAAGAAACGGGAGAAAACAGACGAAAGAATAAGATAGAGATATTACTCGATGATGCTACTTCGAGTGAATAGTATGCATAACTGAACAAAGGATTGCATATTTATACAAGAAATAGAGAAAGAGGAAGACGGTGAAAAATCCGTCGTCGGTCCATACATAGTAAAATAATAACAGTAAAGAGAAAGAAATAACTAGTGTTTGGCCACTAAACCGGTTGACCAATATTGAAAGAAATAGTTACACAACTAAAGAAGAAGAATAAAAAATAAAACCCTGGAAGATGATGATGACTCACTACCTAATACTTTGCTCGTCTTGAAGCCAATCAACAAAGATCGACTGGCGCGGCGACAGATTCCTGCGCATCGGAAAACATGTCCGGTCTTCAGTTAACACTATCAGAATCTCAACGAACAGTCGAAATCCAAATGCCATCTGAAGGCCTCCTGGCTATCCCCGGTGAGGACTATCGTGTTCAATATCCGTTGTACGCTAGATCCGACTAAAAAATAGATAGATATCTAGGCGATTTTGTAGAGAACCTATGAAGACCTCCTAAAAGTCCTGAGTGGAAATCATCAGCTTTTCCATGTGAAATTGCCTCTAGTCTATAAGTTTAGGTAGCGAGACCGCATCTTTCTATAGTTACTCTATTTCTGCATTCCTCTTGCAGACAGATAAACATTTTATGCAATATGACTAAAGACAAGCGAAGTATGTTATTGTATAACTAACTCATGCATGTCATATTTTGAGTTCCTGTTTTTTATGGTCGACGTTCTCCATATTCCTGAGTAATTGTCAGATAAATCAAGTATTTATCATCTTTTTCGTCTTTCTCAACTTTATCAATTGTAAAATTTGTACCTGCTTTCAATAATACTTCCTCCTCATCCGGATAATGTGACAATAAATTTAGGTCTTTATGGTAGATGCCATGAGGATCTTTGTCTAAATTTATAACAAACAGAGCATTCCCAGCGAACATTTCTGCAGCTAGACGATTTTTACTAGTAGATGAATATGAAAGCCATTTTCCTGTTTTTCCCACACTGTCTCGATAGTCGTTAATCATTTGTTGATCAAGACTTGCTCCACGATATACAAAACCTTTTGTTTTGTCATTACGGCTGAAGACATGTCTGCTTAATAGGTAACAATAGGGTCCCAACGACTGTACTTTGGTTTTGTCATCTTCTCTTAAAACTTTATTAACCAGATGATAAAGAAAAGTTTCAGCTGTATATATCTTAACACAGAGTTGCGAAGCTTCGTGTTCAAGACACTTATTTTTAATACTTCTCAACTGATCTGCAATCGCTTCTGCTGCGAACTCGGCTTCTCCTTTCTTTCCTTCAAACAGTATACCAATGGCGGCTTGTTCAATCATTTCATCGTAATTTTTCTCTTGCTCACATGTCCTAACTAACGTTGTATTTCTATTGTACCATTCAGCAACGAAATCAGACCCACTCGTGACAGCTTCACCAAATGATTTGACAACTAGCTTTTCGGAAAAGAAAAATCTTTCCTCTCTCAGACATACAGAAGTTTCGTCAATCAAAATTCGCTTAATCGTTCTAACTGTCTGCACGTCATTCTGAATGATTTGTAACATATTTTTAAAATCAAAAATGAATTTGCCGAGTGTTAGATGATCTTCAACCATGCCTTTTCAATTGTATTGTTTTCAATGTCCGAAAACCGATTCCATTTCTCTTTCTCTGGTCGCACTAGGTCATGATCTGATTGCTAATACCATATGACTTTTGTCGGCGAAGCCATCTATAAAAACGCTTAAAGTAAAATCCGATTTTGCACAAAGTCTTCGAAAAATTTCGTCCTAAAAGCACCATTAGACTTAGCGAAAAAAGCGGCCATTAGACCTGAAAAATTGGAGCATTTCTGACGTTATTCTCCGATCTTCGGTCGTTGGTGCCTCGGTGTTGAACTTCTACAGACCGATTCTGATAACTATCATAATTCGGGACATTCAGAACAGTTTTTGAGCGCTCTAGACTATTTTCAAACGGCCCAAAACAATGATGACTCAGAGTTTTTCGCATTTTTCTCTCCGTCAAAACTAGATTACATTGTGTCACATTTGCAACATCATATTCGTAATCAGCGTCACATACTGAATCAGGAAAACTATCTTTGATCATGCAAAAAGATCAAAATTGAAGGAGTTGAACCTCATGTCTTTTTTGCTGGACCTCCAAGTTGAGGTTTGAGTTCGTGAGTCATGTCAGAGATAGATTTTATCCTCTGCCTCAGCTCCGATAATTGCCTCAACTCCTGTACAGTTCTCAGAGATGAAACTGAAGTCGAAACCTAACATTTTTCACTTTTTTATGAAACTTGCACAGCGACAAGTGACTGTACGATCAATACCGTTATTTATCTACCCAAATGGCATTCCTAAAACACTTTTTCATGATCCAGATGGATAAAGTTCATTCAGAACGACATCACGTTACATACTTTCATTTTGGTGAATCATAAGCTTACACGTTTCTTCTTTTTCCTTCTTGAATGAATAAAGCAAAAATGTCTGTGTC